CTGTAAATAGTGACCAGATGAAGGATGCTATATTAAATCAGCACATAGGAACGAAAGGCAGAGGGGAAGTTAACGCAAATCACGGTGGAGATTAAAATCGGGTGCCCAATTACCAGGGTAATTGGGGACTGACCACATGGTCAAGCTGCTTGCTTAGGTCGGGTTTCTCCTGCCATGTGTAGGCCGTTTCCAAGTAGCGTAGGGTTCGATTTGTTCGTGCCCGAACAAGTGCCCGAAAAACTGTTTTGAGGTCAACAGAGTGACCACTACCTAGCACATGTTTAGTAATTAAAGACTGCGGCACTATCTTCTTGCTTGAAAAGCCAGTTAGGCAAGTGCTCAGCGGCCCTGGCTGCCAGTTGACTTTGCATAGGCCCAATGTACTTGTATCCGCAAATGCACGTGAATTCATACACACAATTTGAGGGGGCGTGCAACGGTAAGGTATCCTTTGCCCGTTTTACTGAAAGATTTTTAGTAGGACTTCGGAAGACGGGTTCAGCTGCGTTGTAATTTTTTCTATGGTGCAATGCAACCGTCGCTTGATTGTATTGGAAATATTGTAACCCTTAAAGGGTAAGGATATAATTACGGACTTTTTTGGAACTGACTGTTCCGTCAATTTTGGCCGTAAAGGATTGCTGTACTTTTGGATAAAGCCTGCAGGATAGTCACGGTTAATTGGGACTGCTTTGGTGCGGGAAATCTCTACAGGAAGAGTTTCATTAGAGCAAATATTCCTCGCTCTTTGAAAAAGAGTATGTACCAGGTTTAGTTTCCGGTGTATTAGCATAAAACTGGTAAAATGTAGGTATTGCCCTTTCCACGTATTTTTGTGGAAAACCGAGCGCCCTATCGAAACATCCTCTAAGCACGAGGATTGCACTGTTTCCATTGTACATTTCATTTTCGGATGTAAGTTATTCATGAAGTTAAGGTCATCGGCATCTTCTTTGAAATCGACAATCCTAAGTACATTATCCACATATCTTCTCTATAATGTCGTATGAAGTCTTGATGACACCGTTTCTTCTAGGTGACTCATAAAAATGTCCCAAATGTTGGCCCATTACGATTCCGTCAATTTGATTGTAGATTTGCACATTAGTCAGAAGTTAAAAATTCTCGCTACAGAATTTTTATCCGTTTATGTAATTAAGGCTACGCGTTTCAGGCCTGATGACAGTTTAAAAGTGCTTTAACCGACACGCATAGGCTGTGTCATGCTATCAGCTGTCGATCACGCCTGATGTCTTCTGTTTACTTCAGTTTGTCAGGTCAGCAGAGTTGCTCTACTGCCTGGAATCTCTGGCCGATGCTGCAGACACATTAAAGGAGGACGAGGAAGTCGCCACTGAACTTGTTTCTTTGAAAGAAACTACCCAAAAGGCCATAAGGCTGCTCTCAGAGGTAAGTGGATATTTATTTTCCTTACTGCTGCGCTTAGAAACTTATTTCTTACGCACTCTTCTGTTCAATTTCAGCCGGTGGACTGTTCCTCCGAAATGGCTAATTTAGCCGTGCGTGGTGTTATCCCGGCGCTCAAAAGTCACAGCGACCTACTTTTGTCCATGTGGAAGAAGGTAACCTATAACTTCCTTGAATTATTCCGTCAAAACTGATATTGCCTTTATTTTCTCGTCCTCTTACTATATATTTACAAATTAAAGAAAACTCAAAATTTCGAACTGTTTGGTATTAGGACTGCCTTCCCTCGAAGCGTCGTGTTTATTGTTCTACTTTTACCCAACCAATTTGCTCATTGCAGTAAGCGAGGCCCTTCAAGTTGAGCTAACTGGCTATGGTGGCCCAGTTTGGGAGATAATGCCCCATG